TTTGGGTTTTAACACAATGAAAATACCGATTCTCTAATTAGGTCGAAAGTATCGTCTGCATAGCACCGGAAAAGGGTTTTTTAGGACCTAAGCGCCGGGTAAAACAGAGAACAGAAAGGGACGGGACTATCGGAACGGGACGCAGGTAGTAAAAAAAATTGCTCAATTGGGCTCCGTAAGCCTGAGTAACCGAGGGTTACGATCACACACATATGGGCCTTGACACTGGAAGTTCCTCGGGGCTCAGCAGCTTGGAATTCCGACTGGCCGAGGAAAAACGCGCCAGATCTTTGGCATTTCTAAGTTTAATCAAAGCGCCATGACAGGGTCCATAAATTCGAGCGATTGTCAGCCGCACTCGCCTTCGTTTCATATACATATGTTTCGGCTAATACCATTGAAGCGGCTCATCGACGGGCGATTAGATTAGCAATCTGCAAACGCAGCCAGTCAATTAAGATATAGGGGCCCACTTGAGGTTCCCAAAACTAACTTACCTGTCGCTATTTCGCCGTGGAGATTGCTTAGTTTCGCTTTGGACTCGGCCCGTGCTGGATTAACGTGGTCATGATAATCACCGCCAAGTTGGTAGCCATTGGCCTGAGCCTCGCGCTCACCGCCTTCACCGTGTCGACAATTGTCCTGGCCGTCCAGAAGTCGAGTCTTCAGAGTGATTTGCGCGATGCACAGGAGAAGCTGGACCTCCTCGAGGCGGGGCTTACGAGCACGGCTGCTCCGACAACCTCGAGCACTGCGAGTCCTGGCAGCACTGCAAGTCCAGAACCCACAGCTGAACCTGGAAGCACTGCATCGCCAGGAAGCACTGCTTCTCCAGGATCCACTGCCTCTCCTGCCACCACTGCAGCTCCAGAAGAGAAAATAGACTACCGATTGCCCGGAAATCTGATACCCACACACTACGATCTCTATCTGTTCCCCAACATCGAAACAGGGGAGTTCAGTGGTCAGGAGACCATTACAATCACAGTTGTAGAGGCCACCGACAAGATAGTCCTGCATTCCCTAAACTTGAACATTTCGAGTGTGGCCATAATGAACACGGGCAGTAATACTTTGGAGGTCCTGGAGACCTCAGTGGATTCCGTCAGGGAGTTTCTGATATTCCAGCTGAGTGAACAGCTACCACAGGGCAGAGAAGTGAGACTGCATATCGGATTCGAGGGATCGATGGCCAACAAGATAGTGGGTCTGTACAGTTCGTCGTATTTGAAGGAGGATGAGAGCCGCAAGTGGATTGCCACCTCCAAGTTCGAGCCCACCTACGCTCGTCAGGCTTTTCCCTGCTTCGATGAGCCGGCTATGAAGGCTGAGTTTACCATTACCCTGGTTCATCCCTCCGGGGAGGATTACCATGCCCTGTCGAACATGAACGTGGATTCCAGTGCCAATCAGGGTGCCTTCCAGGAGGTTACCTTCGCGAAAAGTGTGCCCATGAGCACCTACCTGGCCTGCTTTATTGTCTCCGACTTTACTTCAAAGCAGGTGGACATCGACACAAAGGGCATTGGAGAAACCTTCACCATGAGCGTCTACGCCACTCCAGAACAACTCGACAAGGTGGACCTCGCCGTGACGATTGGCAAGGGAGTAATCGAGTACTACATTGACTACTTCCAAATTGCATATCCGCTACCCAAACTTGACATGGCCGCCATTCCCGACTTTGTTTCCGGCGCCATGGAGCACTGGGGATTGGTCACGTACAGGGAAACTTCGCTATTGTACGACGCCGAAACGAGTTCGGCGTCCAATAAACAACGCATCGCCAGCGTGATTGCCCACGAGTTCGCACACATGTGGTTTGGAAATTTGGGTACGTTAACCCACTGGGGATATACCCTTAGGTGTTATAAAAATCTGAACAGGGGTTAATATGGGTTGGGTTTATAGCAGGGGCCATCAGAACCATATTTAATTATTTTTGAGTTGGTGTTTTGTGGCAGAATGTGAGCAGAGTAGAGGCAAAGGCATTTTCTAACCCGCGGGCCGACTTCTCTGCTTCTGTTGACCACTGGCTTAAGAGGTTGAATTTATATCACATAATTTAAAATGGCTCTTCCTTACTTTTCTCCTTGTAGTCACCATGAACTGGTGGAACGATCTGTGGCTAAATGAAGGCTTTGCCAGCTTCATCGAGTACCTTGGCGTGGACGCCGTCTACCCAGAGTGGCAAATGGCAAGTTACCGAAAGATACAAAATGATTATCCTAAATGATTTCCTATATCTAACCTCCCTAGCGTGACCAATTCATCGTGAGCACCCTGCACGCCGTACTCACTTTAGATGGAACTCTGGGCTCTCATCCCATCATCCAGACGGTGGAGAATCCCGATCAGATAACTGAGATTTTCGACACCATCACCTACTCCAAGGGCTCCTCTCTGGTGCGCATGCTGGAGGATTTGTTGGGAGAGACCACCTTCCGTCAGGCAGTTACCAACTATCTAAATGAGTACAAGTACTCCACGGCCGAAACGGGTAACTTCTTTTCAGAGATCGACAAACTGGAACTGGGCTACAATGTCACCGACATCATGCTGACATGGACGGTTCAGGTAAACCCATTGAAGTCCCATGAAGTGTGCAAATATTTCAACCCCATCTTTTTTCATTTAATTTTTTTTGCAGATGGGTCTGCCAGTGGTCACGATCGAGAAGGTCTCCGACACGGAATACAAATTGACGCAGAAGCGTTTCTTGTCCAACCCGAACGACTATAACGAAGATCATGAGCCCTCGGAATTCAAGTGAGTGAGCAGAACTTATTGCCTGGATATGTGGTATCTGATTGCGAATTTCGCACATACATTATTTTCGCACAGCTACCGGTGGTCGATCCCCATCACATATACCACCAGTTCCGAGTCGGTGGTGCAGCGTGCGTGGTTTTATCACAGCCAAAGCGAAAGTAAGTGGTGCCATCTGTATGCAGATCCATGGGTCGGATCCTCAGATAGCTGATCTCTAAACTTTTTTTTTTCGACAGTCACTATAACCGTTCCCTCCGCCGTCCAGTGGATCAAGTTTAACTTCGATCAAGTGGGTTATTATCGCGTTAATTACGATACCGATCTGTGGACCGCTCTGGCCGATCAACTGGTTGCTGAGCCGAGTTCCTTTAGCGCTGGAGATCGGGCTTCTCTTCTCAACGATGCCTTTGCCTTGGCTGATTCCACTCAGTTGCCCTATGAAACGGCCTTTGAGCTGACTAGGTATTTGAATAAGGAGGCTGACTATGTTCCCTGGAGTGTGGCTGCCTCTCGTTTGACTTCTCTGAAGAGAACCCTGTACTATACCAGCAGCTATGCCAAGTATAAGAAGTATGCCACTGCCTTGATTGAGCCCATTTATAGGGACTTGACCTGGACCGTTGGCGAGGATCACTTGGATAAGTAAGTATTCTTTGGCCATCTCAGGGATCCAGATTTCTATACCATTATTATCCACAGTCGCCTTCGTGTAACCGCTCTGAGTGCCGCTTGTTCTTTGGGTCTGGAGTCCTGCCTCTCTGAAGCTGGAGAACAGTTCAATACCTGGTTGGCCAACCCGGAGGATCGTCCCAAGGCCGATGTCCGTGAGACCGTCTACTACTATGGAATACTCTCTGTGGGAAGCCAGGAGGTTTGGGATACAGTGTGGGAGCTCTTCGTTAACGAAACCGATGCCAGTGAGAAGGCCAAACTGATGTATGGACTCTCGGCCATTCCAACTCCTTGGATTCTGCAACGCTACATTGATCTGTCCTGGAATGAGGAGTACGTTAGGGGTCAGGACTACTTCACTTGCCTGACTTACATCTCTGCCAATCCAGCGGGTGAGCCCCTGGTCTGGGACTATGTCCGCGAGAACTGGCAACGGTTGGTGGATCGTTTTGGCCTAAACGAACGCTATCTGGGCAACCTGATACCCTCGATCACGGCTCGCTTCAGTACTCAAACCAAGCTGGAGGAGATGGAGCAGTTCTTCGCCAAGTATCCGGAGGCTGGAGCGGGAACAGCTGCCCGAGTCCGGGCTTTGGAGACGGTCAAGAACAACATCGTCTGGCTGGCCGAGAACCTGGAGGGCGTGGACGCCTGGCTGGACAAGCAGCAACTGTAGAAAAGTCCGAGGAGGAAGTGGTCTTGCGACCATCGATTGCATTAAATTTGTACTCATCTAATTGCCATTATAAAGCAAAAACATGCCGAACAAGTGGAAATAAAGATAAGCTAGTTATGGGGAAAACTGAAATTACAGCTCTATAAATAAGCAATTATCCATGATTGATAGCATGGTTTGATAACAAGGATTGGGTGGGGTGACTAATGGATAAGACCTGATTTGATTGACTTTTACTGCACGCCCAAATATCCGGTCTAAATTTTACAAGCAATGGAAATATACTTTGTTATATGATGAAACCTTAAAAATTCTAGTTTTTCAAAAGGAGATGTATTGACAAAAATGTTAGAGTATTACAAGTTTTCAATTATTCCAATTAATTTCAGCAAAAAAACCGACAGCTTTAATCTCCTAATTTCTTATTTAAGATTAGGGAATTATCAAAACATTTATAATCGCTCTTACACAACTCTACCAAGAAAAAGTGCAAATTCATAGAATGAATGGCATATTTATAAAATGTTGTTAAAAGGTTTATTCAAGAACAATGACTAAAAAATATAAACTTTTGAATAGCATACACTTATTTTCTCCCTGTGAGGCGGAGCGAAATAAATTGAAATGGTCAATTAACAATAGTACAAATTGGTTTCAAGCTAAAAGTAAAAGTTTAGGATGATGTGATTGAACCCATAATACTTATAGTGTGTCATAAGCCACGCGAATTCATACTCTTTCGATCAGTATGTCCCCAACTTTATACCGTTGGGACCCGAGATCTCTGGTTTGTACCCTATCGCCCGGTTGACCATAATCGCGGCTATTCGGCCAATCATTATCGCAATCGTGTGGGCGCACATAAACCAATTCGAGTGGCCCCAATCGATAGGAGTCGAATATTGGGCAACGAGTGGATAGTGCTGGATCCATCGACTTAGCCGCTAGTTAGTCGCTCGCGACAGGTGCGATTGCAAAGATGTTCTTGTCGGGTTATTGGTTGCAGGTGGTGCTCTCCTGGGCGGTGGTGGCCTTTGCCACTGCCACCGTGGTTGTGGCGGTGCAGAAGGCTAAGCTGGAGAAGGACCTCCAAGATGTCCAGAACAAGATCGATATTTACGAGGAGTGGAATGGTGAAAGTACCCACCGAATGAAGCGTGAAGACACGGTGCGTAACGGTTTGGAAAATGTAATCAGCTAAATTGATTTATTATGTTTGATTATCAGGCTTATTACCGTCTGCCCACGGCTATGGTGCCCACCCATTACAATCTCTACTGGCATCCTGATCTGGAAACGGGCAGCTTCACCGGTCAGCTGAGGATCACCATCAATGTGGTGGAGGCCACCAACCAGATTGTTCTGCACTCCTACCTCCTGGACATTACCAATGTCTATGTTCTCAACAGGGAGGTGGATAAGTTCGAACTTGAGGAGGAGCGTCAGTTTCTGATCATCACGCTGACGGAGGAGCTGCCGAAGGATGCCAGAATTACCCTGGGAATCCTATTCGGTGGACAGATGAAGGACAAACTGGTTGGCCTGTACAGCAGTACCTACCTAAATGAGGCGGGAGATACTAGGTAATTGTGTAGAGTTTTTAAATTAAGCCTAAAGGTGTGCTATAGATTTTAGCTCCTTCTGGTATTGCATAAGTTAGTTTTGCCTGAACCCTAAATTCTTTTTACAGGACCATTTCCACCACTAAATTCGAGCCCACCTATGCCCGTCAGGCCTTCCCCTGTTTTGATGAGCCAGCATTGAAGGCAACCTTTGAAATCACTGTGGTTCATCCCTCTGGTTCTTACCACGCTGTTTCCAATATGCAGCAAACGGTGAGATCAGACTTAGATTTGATATAAACTTAAATTCGATTAAGACCATTGAAAATCCCCGCTAGGAATCCAACTACTTGGGCGACTTCACCGAGGCCATCTTCGAAACCAGCGTGTCGATGAGCACCTACCTGGTGTGCATCATTGTGTCCGACTTTTCCTCCTATTCCACCACAGTCAGGGCCAACGGCATTGGCGAGGACTTCTCCATGCAGGCCTATGCCACTTCCCATCAGATCGACAAGGTTGAGTTCGCTCTGGAGTTCGGAGCAGCCGTCACGGAGTACTACATTCAGTACTACAAGGTGCCCTACCCACTGACCAAACTGGACATGGCCGCCATCCCTGATTTCGCCTCGGGAGCCATGGAGCACTGGGGACTGGTCACCTACAGGGAGACTGCTCTCCTGTACGATACCAGCTACAGTTCCACGGCAAATAAACAATCGATAGCCGGGACCTTGGCCCATGAGATTGCCCATCAGTGGTTCGGAAATCTGGTCACCATGAAGTGGTGGAACGATCTGTGGCTCAACGAGGGATTCGCCCGCTTTATGCAGTACAAGGGAGTCGACGCTGTCCACCCGGACTGGGGAATGGTAGGTGTCTTATTATATATGCATTAAGATTGGATTTTTCACTCAGTATCTCTTAAAATCACCAAACAGATAGAGCAATTCCAAATTGTGGCCCTGCAACCCGTTTTGGTATACGACGCCAAGCTATCCTCCCACCCAATTGTCCAGAAGGTGGAATCCCCCGATGAGATCACCGCCCTTTTTGATACCATCAGCTACGAGAAAGGTGGCTCCGTAATCCGCATGTTGGAAACCCTAGTGGGTTCCGAAAAGTTTGAGGAGGCAGTGACCAATTACTTGGTTAAGCACCAGTTTAATAACACGGTAACTGATGATTTCCTCACCGAAGTGGAGGCAGTGGTAACCGATGTGGAAATCAAGAAATTGATGCTCACCTGGACGGAGCAAATGGGTTATCCGGTATTGAATGTTTCAAAGGAGGCCGATGGTAGTTTCCAGGTCACTCAGCAGCGATTCCTCTCAAATCCCGCCAGTTATGATGAGGCTCCCTCTGACAGTGAATACGGCTATAGGTGGAGTGTTCCCATCACCTATATCACAGATGACGGTACAGAGGGCAGTTTGATCTACGACTACGATGTGGAAACCGTTCCCATTTTCGTAGCCAGCACTGTACAGTGGATCAAATTGAATGTCAATCAGACGGGCTATTATCGTGTGAACTACGAGGAGAGCCTGTGGACCCTTCTCATCCAGCAGCTGATCAGCAATCCCGATAGCTTCGAAATCGCTGATCGTGCCCACCTCCTGAACGATGCCTTTGCCCTGGCCGATGCCAGTCAGCTCTCCTACAGGATTCCCCTGGAGATGACCGCCTATTTGGGCCAGGAGCGCGACTTTGTACCCTGGTATGTGGCTGCCACTAAGCTCAGGTCTCTCCACCGCAGCCTTATGTTCAGTGAGGGCTATGTGACGTACCTCAACTATGCGAGGAGTCTGATTGCTGGAGTCTACGAGGAGGTGGGATGGACTGTGGATGCCGACAACCATCTGAAAAAGTAAGGATTCAAAGGTTTTATTCAGTTAAGAATAATAACCTGAATTACAGGAGAATTCCTAGGTCTAAAAAATCCTATTTTCTCTTTCCAGCCGCTTGAGGGTTTCCATTTTGACCACCGCCTGCGCTCTGGGAGTGCCAGACTGTTTGGAGCAGGCTGCCCAGCGCTTTAACGCCTTCCTGCTGAACCCCACCAGCAGACCTTCCCCCGATCTTCGCGAGATCGTCTACTACTACGGAATGCAGCAATCCACCAGCCAGTCGACCTGGGAACAGTTGTTCCAACTGTTCGTGGCCGAAACCGATGCCAGCGAGAAGTTGAAACTGATGTACGGATTGACTGGTGTTCTGAACAGCCAGACACTCTTCAATTTCCTGGTTCTGGCTGGCGATGAGAACATTGTCCGCTCCCAGGATTACTTCACCTGTGTGCAGTACATAGCTGCCAATCCCGTGGGTGAATCCGTGGTCTGGGAATTCTTCCGTGAACAGTGGCTCCAGCTCATCGCTCGTTTTGGCCTGAACAACCGCAACTTGGGCCGTCTTATCTCCCAGATTACGGCCAACTTTGCAAGCTCCGTGAAACTGGAGGAGGTGCAGCAGTTCTTCGTCAAGTATCCCGAATCTGGTGCTGGAGCAAACTCGCGTTTGGAGGCCGTGGAGACCATCAAATACAACATCGAGTGGCTGGCCAGGAACCACGCTGACATCACCGACTGGCTAAGTGGAACGGCCTCGGCGCTGACCAAGAAAACCCAATTGTAAACTCTATGTATATAAAATGTATATAAAAACAAGCCAATTAACCACTAATTAGAATTGCATAAGAAACCAGCGAAATTTCCGTTCGAGTTCAATAAAATGAAATTCCAAAATCAAACCATAAATAAAACCCCCCTAAATTTTCAATTTTATCCGGGCAAGTGGCGATTTCTATGGCTCCCAAGAATTGCCGTAGATAGGGGTAACAACTATATGGTCAGAGTGGAAAATGGAATCATGACCGTGCGTAATTATCCAGAGACTGTCCAATCATAAAAGTCGATATATGGCCTTGTTGTAAACATGAACGTAAAAGACCACGGGGCTATGGTCTAGCATAAACCTTATTTATCTGGTCATGGAGCTATATAGTATATAGTCTAGATATCGGCCAGCAATCAGTTTTATTAAGTCCAAATTGTGGGGTCAGATTCGCGACTTGCATTCAGTTTCCAATTTGGCGTCCAGCCTAGTGGAAGCAGTCAAAAGTTCTCCGTGAGAAAGGATTATCCATAGAAATGGTTGCCTGTGAGTTTAAAAAAAAAAAAACCGTATGTAACTGGAAATAATAGAACTTAATTACAGGGCTGACGGTCAAGTCAGTGGCCATCTTTTTGGGCTTGGCCTCCACGGCCTTTTGTGTGGCCACCATTGTGCTGGCAGTCCAAAACGCCGATCTGGAGAACGATCTTCAGGACGCCCTGGATAAGATCGACGCCCTGACAGCGGACACCACTTCCACCTCCACCTCCACTACGACGACCACCACTGCAGATCCTAACAGGCCAACAGATGATCCTAGTGGAACCACCAGCTCACCCGGCGAGGGAGGTGTAACAACTCCAAGCGGAGGAACCTCTCCAGGAGCAACCTCTCCAGGAGAAACCTCCCCAGGAGGAGAATCGTCCAGTACGGCATCCACATCCTCCAGCAGCGCTCCTATTTATCCAACTTTGCCGACAGGACTTCCAGATCCTGAAAAGGTAAGTTATATTATATATTAAGAATACTTGGTACTTGCAAATACGAGTATCATGACAGGTATTAGATAGTTCAGAAAAACCCCCACGTCAGTTAGAAAAGCTTTCCCAAATGGTGGTCAGTGGTGATCATAAAGTCGGCATGGGTACTAATTTCAAATTTATCAAGTTTCCCCATAATCATTTCATGTGCTTATCGGTTGGGCAGCGGTTTTATTTTCCATTTTGATAGTAATACAAGACTTGGCTAATTCCATTGGTATTTTAAGTTAGTTTAATTGCGGCCAACGCAGAGTAAAGAGTCACTAAAATGGGCCACACAAAGGAGAGGATTAAGGGTATTTATTCCAGTCGAAGGAGCAGTTTCGGAAAAATGCAGAGATATATATTTTCATAGACTCGATCACCGCGGAACGAGTTGCCATATTCTTTGGCCTGCTGTCCACCTGTCTGATCGTTGCTCTCGTAATTGTGGTCGTCCACAGGGATAATTTGTGGCTGCAGTTGGAAGAAGCCAAAAGGATGTTGGATGTTCTGGAGGAATACATTCAAAGTCACTTGCTGACTACAGTTTATGACAGAAAACAATAAAAATGAGGGGTTCCAAATCTTTGTTGAGATATACAACTTTTTAAAAAGGTTTTCAGGTTAATAAAAAAGGTCTTAACTTTGTAGACTTTATTATAAATTATGAACCCAATTTCGCAATTTTCAGTTAGTATATACCCCATAAGGCTAAATTGTTGCAACGAAGTCCACTTTGTTTACGACCTGACCACACCACCTTATCGTGGCATTGCTCACTTTATAGGGCCACAAGCTCATTATCGATCGGGTGGATATTGAATAATCTTTACAACCATGCAGATCGAATGGCGCCTGCCCACGGAACTGACGCCGATCAAGTACAAGGTGTTTATCCAGCCCAATCTGAAGACGGGTGAATGTAAGGGCGACGTGTCCATCCAGTTCCAGCTGAACGCCGTCACCAATCTGATCGTCCTGCACGCCAAGGACCTCAATGTGCACAGCATCAGCATATTGAACATGATGGCGCGCATCCGCGTGGCCATCGATAAAGTCGTGGTGGACGCAGTACGCGAAATAATCTTGATATACCTAAGGGAGGTGCTGAGCTTGAACAAGGCTTTCACGTTCTCCGCCAGTTTCGATTGCAACCTGAACAACCTGGTGGGAAGCTACATAAGCAACTACACAAACGCCGAAGGAGTTGAGACGTGAGTATCTTTACAAGGCAATTTTAATTAAGGGATTAAGGGAATGATAGTATTAAATTGTTTATAAAACATACAAATTACATAAGTAATTCAGTTGACTCGTACTAAGAGCTAACGTTAATTTTAGAAAAAATGGGATTGGAATATGTTATATTAAGATCTATTATATTGAGCGAAACAGTGAGCTATCTTAAGACTACAAGCACATGTTCGAATACCCCCAATGTTGGAGTCTACCGCTTGATGGGGCCATCAAAAGCCGGTCTCAGCTGATGAGAGAGCTTTCCGGAGAAGCTCGAATATCGTGGCCGCTTTGGAGCCGCGCTTCAGATTCAGTTGGAAGTTCAAAGCTGAGTGCGACGGTCGCAGAAAAGAGCGGGTCGCGCCTTGGAATACGATCTCAATCTTCCGCACTACGATTCTCGATCCCCTTTCTTCCCGGCTTTCTCGAGTGCGCGCCTACGATTTGAATCAAGAATGATAGTTGTCCGCCAATTGCCGTTATCAAATTAGCTGAGGGAATATTTCTCGGACCCGGCAAAGTGACAATTAATGCGATTCGTAGACAAAACGTGACACGAAAAGCTGTGATTCCAACTGTAAATCAAGTAAAAGGCATAGTGCGAAATGCGACAAAAATAATAGATAATAAGCGCTCCAGATCAATCAGATACCGTTGAGTCCGCTCCAAAAGGTCCATTGTCGCCGTGTCCGTTATGCGATCGAAATTCTGGTTCTAATTGGACGCATTGATGCGAGTAGTAATTTTAATATTTGCTGAAATGCGACCAACGGATTGGATTCTATGCCAACTTTGACTTTCAGCAGGCAGGCAGGCAGTACGATAAACAACGGGCCATCGCAAGCTGGCCAAGAGAACTCCACATGGCTAAATCAAACAGGTTGCACCGCTCCCCTTTTTCCCCCTCTGTTTTGCCTGCTGCAAACAGGCTTGGAGCCAAATGCATACATAGTTCACTTGCCGCGCAAGTTCTTGGCCTTAAATCGGCCACAGTCGCTGCACTGGAAAAACAGTTTCGATAACAGTTTTATAAAAGAGATAAAATTGAATATATTGATATATGAATATACCCAAATGATCTTCGCTGATGTATGCTATTCTTATAATAAAATGAAATCGTATTCGTCATATCGTCTGATCTCAATTGCATTCCGAGATATCTATATGATTATTATCAAATCTACAATTTCTTTCACTCGAATCAAACCAAAAAAATAAAAAAAAACTTTCAAATCGTTATAACTATTGAATCTTAAAGTTTAAAACACTTTTAGCCATGATTAACATTAAAATAGTAAACTGAGATAAAAACGTATTACATCCTTATCCCAAAAGTGTTGTACTTGTTTATTTGGTTAAATACTTAAGTCCTAAGATTTAGCTAAAAATATAAAACATTGCAGCATCTTACTTAGTTTCAAGATCGCTAAAAGTTTTAAATATTCGGAGACCCTTTTTTTTAGTTTATTCGTATGGTTGTGCTCTTTTTTCGCTGTGTACCTCTGGCTGTTGACCAAGAAATGCGTCGTGTTTACATCTCCAATGCGGCGGATACTCAATGGCCGCTGAGAAAATACTTTCTTCCAAAAGCCGAAACGAAATGGGTCGACATCATTGACTGCCAAAGCAACTTGTTGTCGTAGTATTATTCCCTTCCCCGTTTCTCGCCGTGTTTTCTCGTTTTGTTTTGTTCTTGAAAGTTCATTCGAAGCTCTGTGGTCAAATCTTTTTTCATTTTCATTGACACTGATTTCTTTTTTGTTCTTCTTGGGCGAAATAGAAATTTGGTTTTTCTCAAGTGTGGGAAAGAACCTTCGAAAGTGTGGAGTTTTTAATTGGACCTTGGTGTTAATATTGTAAGTTAATTGCTATTGGCGAAATCGATAGGGCATTTGACACCTTTTTCTATGCTTTAAAGTTCAATGATCTTTAAAAAAAAGAGTGTTAATTTTCAGTGAGATTTCCTTTTCAACCTAATTGATCGCCCATTAAAAGAAGCTTTTTATTTACCTAACTAGTCGAAAGGGTTTCATTGAAGTAAAATGTTTGTAAATAAAACAAAACTGATTTTGTTTGTTCCTAATATTTATTTATATTTGCCAAGGCTAAAGTTTCATGTGCCAATTTTTATAGTCTACCATTTTTGAAAGTGATGCAACGCATTGATTGATACCAATTTAAATTCACATTCCGTTAACCCCAAACATGCAAATTGTGGCAATCATTTCTTTGTCAACCCATTTGCCGCTTATTTATCGTTTTTATTTTAATTTCTCCTTTGTGAATATCGTAAATTGCAGGCACGTATAGACGACCTTTGTCAAGTGTCATCCCATCGCGAGTGTTTTGGGTTGTTTTCGTACTTCTCTGGGATTTTCATCGAGTTTTGGGTGTTTCTGGGGCGCACTTGTCACGTATAACGATTTGCATTTTTGTTGCTATTACTCGGTAACTTTGTGTATTGTGAAAGTTATGACCTTAAAAAGCCTGGAGAACGTGTTTTAAATTAAAGCTTTCATTTTCAATATTCAAAAATTAAAAATTTCAATGCATTTTGGCTAGAATTTCATATTTCTAAAAATAATTAATTGATCAATTTCATACATACGGGTTTACTGATGTTCTAGTGCCCCAACATTTTTATTCTGCGTGCACTCGACTCGATCTTCAAAGAAGTGAAATTTATGCGACTCATTAGTGAGGCATGAGAACTGTTATGTTATGGCTTGTGCCCCCGCGATCATCGCTTCATCGGCTTCAGAATGCCACGATATCCGCATCCACGTTTGTGCAATGGGGCGTGTCCGATTGCCTCTTGGAAGTCGGAGATGTATACATCTGGTACATATAAGTACTCTAGACCCGACCATTGTCTGCAGATCTTCTGACTGTATTTTTCAGCCGCTCATAAGGTGGTAGTCATGCGATTTGGTTGCCTCCAATGCGCGGTGGCTTTGTGCGACGCGCGCTCCCTAATTGAGTCAGCATTACATCATCTGCGGAAGATAGAAGGGGGCAATACTGTGGGTATACTATGGGTATCAGAGACAATTGCCCGGCGGCTGACGAAAATTAGCATATTCTGCAGTCTCGAATTCCTCATTTCGCACAATTTAAAGTGAATAAGGTTCGTGTGATACTGCCGCTGCATCGTATATTGTTCTCTCGTAATGAATACCTTGGGACGAGCACTCCTTTATCCTGACATAATTGTCAAAACCCAAGACGTGGATCACGGCTCGACGGCCAATTCAATTCATTTCCATTGCTAATAATGGCATCTGCAATATCTTCCCAGCGCACAGTCTGCAAAGATTTGTGCAACAGACTCTGTAAATTGACAAGCAAAAAGCCAACAACCTTTCAACCGTCAATCAATCGTACACAGGGGAAAAATTGATCCAATTTAATGAAATGATCTCAAATATCGTAAAAATTTATTAAAAGCAAATAAAAGTAATCGATTATGTATGATATCCATTTGTATTCTGCTTCTGCTTATCATAAGGGTCCCGCTCAAAAGATGGTTCATTACTCATCTTATTTTATTTTTAAAGGCCCCAAGATTCTTAGCAACTGATATTATCTGAATGATATATCGGCATATTTACGTTTCGGGTACTTCGAACTGCATTTTTTTTCGTGTAGAGACGCCTCTGTAGAAAGTGGCCTGTGGTGGCCGTATCATTGCACCAAGCCCGGGGATTCGTATTGCAAATCTTGCGGTTAGCCAGCCCAGTTCCAACACCAACTATACCAACTAAACTAAAAAATGGCTTCGAGTATTTGTTGTAACAATTTCACGAAATGACCAACTTCATTACGTGACTATTGGCGGGGATGGGGGATCAAAATTACAGGCATCTGATTGATCTGCAGTGAGACAAAATTGAGGCAATCTCCACCTGGAGATGGAGTGAAATGTGACGGAAGCTGAGTTGCTCCGCCTCCTCCTCCTCCTCCCAAACTGGCACCTCCATAAAAGCCGGGCAAACAAACCCGGGTTTGTTTATAAGCTGCTCGGAGATTATAAAAACTGATGATGGCAGCGGCGACGCAAGTAATTCAGTACGCGACTTTTTTTTTATGATGCTCTCGAGTTACCTCGCCGATGACACAATGGATTGGATGAAGTTGTGGCGTTTTGGGGCAGCCTCTCCTCAGTCTGCGATAAAACTACAGTTAAAGTGGAGCATAGATCGTGGCAGTGACATTAAAAATAGAACCCTTTAAATAATAATACCAAGTGATTTACTGTTGTAGAACGTACCCAGCCCAGTGAAAATAAAATAAGAAAATATTGTAAAGAGAAAGGAAAACAAAAGTCATGTATGCCGCGAAAAACGTACGCCCGCGCAGCAGTCTCTCCGCAGACGATAACCACCGGATCAAGGACACCAACCGGCCCCACAAGGCCCCCAGCAACACGATCCTGACCCTCGCCGCCTTCTGCGTCTTCCTGCTCGTCCTCTGCGGCTTCCTGCTGGGCGCCCTTGTCTACGTGGGCAAGAATATAGCCGAGGAGCACCAGAGGCAGCAGCACTCGAACGCCTCCCAGTGGGCCTTGAACTCCACCATCCGCACAGTCTACGTGGACCGGGACCAGTTGCTCTCCACAAAGCCCATTCTCAGCGTGCTCTCAGGTTCGTCTTGAGTAGTGAGAAAAAGTATCAGTATGTCTCTGAAAAAAGCAAAATAGCAGTCAGTGTCGGGGTCACCTAATAAGTAAAATATACAAATTCAGAGAGCTTTATTTACAATGAAATATACTATACATTTTCGAATGAGTGCAAACTCGTTTTCCCAAACTTTTGAAAGGGTAAACAAATTAGTATACTAAAAATAATTATTTCCAAAAAAATTAAATCCTTTTAGCTAGTATTTCTGTTTATGTTATGTTAGTTACCACTTTAAACATTTATTATTTAAAATATGTATATGTAGTTAATGTTTCTTTAATTTTCACTTTTGATTTATAATTGAAATATATTGTTAAAAAATCTGTCAGTCTTTTCTATAATTGTCAGATTGTACAGGTAACTTTAGAAAATGCAAAGAAAAATCATAAGTAACGTGAAATCATGTTTGAATTTGGCGCGCTTTTTCTGGGGTAAAATATACCAACTGGTTTTATCCAAGTTCTGCACCTTTTCCACTTTTGACATGGTATATTAGGAGTATTTAACATTACGAAGCACTTTTATCTAACTCTTTTTCGACTCACTGCCACACTGTTTTTAGCCTTTTTGAGATTTGATAGTACAATAGATGAATAATTTATAGCGATTTGGCGCCTAACTGATTATTAAATCGCACAAATAATCTATAGATAACCGCGTTCACACAACTCAAGTGCCCGCCAGCAGAAAGTCGAGCATTATGGCCACCTTGGCGCCCGCCGTGAAAGCCGCGAGCAAGGTGCTCCAAAATCTGGGATTCCGTTTGCCAAGGCAAATAAGACCCAGCAAGTACCGCGTCCACTTGCGCCCCGATCTAGACAGGAAGAACTATTCCGGGAACATAAGCATCAGCCTGCAAGTTCTGGAACCCATCTCCTTCATCCCAGTCCACGTTAAGCAGCTGAATGTGAGCACCGTGGAGGTGAAGCACCTGGACGAATCGGGGGCTCCGCTCAAGGACATCACCCCCTCGCTGACCTTCGCCCACCCGGAGTTCGAGTACTGGGTCACGGAGTTCGAGCAGCCCCTGGAGGCGGGAAACTACTCACTGCGGCTGAACTTCAGTGGATCTCTCGCGGATCGGATCACGGGGATGTATCAGAGCACCTACTTGGACAAGCTGAAGAACCGCAACAGGTAGCCGGGCTACTAACCACCCAAATCCCCCAGCACGCAACCCACTAACATTGCTATAAGAATAGGGGCGTATTATTGGATGACTATTTAAAACGAATCATATGATCTTATCTTATAAAAGAGTATTTCTCATTTCCTAATAATTTGTTTCGGATTCGGAATTCTTTGTACTAATAAGAAATGTTAAAAGTATAACAGATATCAGCTTCCTTTCAGGCTATTATAAGTAATAGGACTAACATAATTCCCATTATTTTCCATTCCAGACCGATCGTGAGCACCAAGTTCGAACCCACATACGCCCGCATGGCCTTCCCCTGCTTCGATGAGCCCGCCATGAAGGCGCAGTTCACCATCACCGTGGCCCGTCCCAGTGGCGATCAGTACCATGTGCTGTCCAATATGCCGGTGGCCAGCGAGTATGTCGACGGCGATCTCACCGAGGTGACATTCGCGGAGACTGTGCCCATGAGCACCTACCTGGCCGCCTTTGTGGTTTCTGATTTCGCGTACACAAACACCACCGTGGAGGGAACCAGCATCGAATTAAGGGTCTATGCTCAGCCAGCACAGGTGGAGAAAACCCAGTACGCCCTGGACACTGCAGCCGGAGTTACCGCCTACTACATCAGCTACTTCAACGTCTCGTACGTCCTGCCCAAACTGGATCTAGTGGCCATCCCCGATTTCGTATCCGGAGCGATGGAGAACTGGGGACTGGTTACCTTCCGGGAGACTGCTCTTCTCTACGACGAATCAACCAGTTCCAGCGTGAATAAGCAGCGCGTCGCAGTTGTGGTGGCACATGAGTTGGCCCACCAGTGGTTCGGCAATCTGGTGACCATGAACTGGTGGAGCGATCTGTGGCTAAACGAGGGATTCGCCTCGTTCATCGAGTACAAGGGTGTGAAGCAGATGCACCCAGAATGGGACATGGACAATCAGTTTGTGATTGAGGAACTTCACCCGGTGCTAAAAATTGATGCCACTTTGGCCTCTCATCCCATTGTCAAGTCAATTGAGAGTCCGGACGAGATCACTGAGTACTTTGATACTATCACCTACTCCAAGGGAGCCGCTCTGGTTCGCATGCTGGAAAATCTGGTGGGCGAGGAGAAGCTGAGGAACGCGACGACTCGCTATCTACTCCGTCACATCTACAGCACTGCCACCACTGAGGATTACCTCACCGCCGTTGAAGAGGAGGAAGGACTAGACTTTGAAGTGAAGTAAGTAAAAGGCGCTGCTTAAAGGGATGTCTCGTCTAAAGCTTTAATTTTCGATGTAACTTTCAGGCAGATCATGCAGACCTGGACGGAGCAGATGGGTCTGCCAGTTGTGGAGGTCGAGAAAAGTGGCAACAACTACAAGCTCACCCAGAAGAGATTCCTTGCCAACGAGGATGACTACGCAGCCGAGGCTGAAGCATCTTCCTTCAAGTAAGTCGAAATATAGGTACTCTTTAATTTAACACTGTAATTAAACCTAACTTTCCATTCCCATCCTTCAACAGCTATCGTTGGTCGATTCCCATCACCTACACGAGCAGCATTAACAGCGAAGTTCAATCTTTGATCTTTAACCACAACGATAACGAAGCCACTATCACGCTTTCTGGAGATGCCAGCTGGATCAAGATTAACACGAATCAGGTCGGATACTATCGAGTGAACTATGCCGCTGAGCAGTGGGGAGCAATCACCAGTGCTCTAAAAGCCTCCCGCGAAACCTTTACCACCGCTGATCGCGCTCACTTGTTAAACGATGCCGACTCTCTGGCAGCTGCCGGACAGCTTAGCTACTCCCTGGCACTGGATCTGATCTCTTACTTGGAGAGCGAGAAGGACTACGTGCCCTGGAGCGTGGGCACCGCCACCCTGGCTTCGCTGAGGAATCGAGTCTACTACACTGACCTGTACACCAACTTCACCACCTACGCCCGCAAACTGCTTACGCCCATTGCGGAGAGTGTCACCTTTACCGTAGGCACCGACCACCTGGAGAAGTAAGATATAACCCGAAAATAATGTCCAATTCTCAAATAGATTGCAAGACGATTTTTTCGAAATTGATAAGAGCCAAATAACCGAGCGGCTTAAACTTGATAGATTTTTTAACTAATATTTTTCTCTTCGTCAGTCGCCTCCGCATCAAGGTGCTGAGCTCAGCCTGCAGTTTGGGACACGAGAGCTCTTTGCAGCAGGTTGTCACGCTGTTCAACCAGTGGCTGGCCAGTCCGGAGACCCGACCCAGTCCGGATATTCGTGACGTCGTCTACTACTACGGCCTGCAGCAGGTGAACACGGAGGCTGCCTGGGATCAGATGTGGAAGCTGTACCTGGACGAGACCGATGCCCAGGAGAAGGTGAAGCTGATGAACGGATTGGCTGCCGTGCAGGTGCCGTGGCTCCTGCAGCGATACATCAACTGGGCCTGGGACGAGAGTAATGTGCGCCGGCAGGACTACTTCACCCTGCTGGGTTACATCTCTACCAATCCGGTGGGTCAGAGTCTGGTTTGGGATTATGTGCGCGAGAACTGGGAGAAGCTCGTGGAGCGTTTCGGCATCAATGAGCGTACTTTGGGTCGATTGATTCCCACGATCACGGCACGCTTCTCCACGGAAACGAAGCTGGAAGAGATGCAGCAGTTCTTCGCCAAGTATCCCGAGGCTGGAGCCGGAACTACGGCACGCCAACAGGCCCTGGAAGCGGTGAAGGCCAACATCAAGTGGCTGACAGTCAACAAGGCCCAGGTGGGCGAGTGGTTGGCCAACTACGTACAACAATCCTCCGTCACCAATCGCATCCAATGAGTCGCCAACTCGGCCATTTGCACCCTGTAAAATATCAATAATGTAAAAACTACCAATGGAATTGAACATAGTCTTAGCTACCTAGTGCAGCAATTGCATTTCAATTGTGAACGAAGAATTGTGAATGCTTATGATATTTTTGAAGAAAATACAATACAAAAAATTACTTTCACTATCTTTTATTACAAGGTGTCCTGAAAATAAATTGAATATGAATAACTAATTATTTTTTACTGTTCCCTCTTACGTTTTGTTGTACCTTCATACAACTTGTTGCAATATAAAAAGTTTTGTATACTTTTCGGCGTTATACCTACAACTTGACGGCACGATAAAAAAAAAAGCAATGGTATAATTGCCCTCACCGAAAACGCAACAATGTAATGCAACAAAAAATTATTTTGTTTTCTAAATGTGGTGGTTTGACGGCTCCCTTATCATTTTGAAGCCGTGGTCGTGGTGATGAATGGGCAAAGTGGTGACCGCAGCAAACAGGCGATGAGGAGGAATGTAGCTTCAGTTGCCGGAGCGCTGAACAACATGAGCATGGCAACCAGCAAGAAGGTCATCAGGAAAGTGGAGAGCTGCATGGTGCTTTTGATAGTGTTGTACTCTGTTGGATCCAGAACTACCTTTCGATCCGATCGGGCTGCTATTTATACGTGCTTTTAGCCATGCTTACCACATACTATAAAGCCTTTCATTACATATTTGCCAAATATAATTCAAACAAAGTCACCGACTGTTAGCAAAATATTGAACAGCTTCTGTTGTCTCACCAGCTGTGCAGTTCAGATGCAGTAGTGCAGTTTTATTACACTACCTAACAAAAATCAGGAATTTCAGTAACCATTGCGCAGGTTCTTTGTCAAAACTTGATGAACAGAATAATCAGTTTTTTCGGAAACTTATGTTTAAATTATAATTTCCTTGTAGTTTATGAGGATTATACATATTTAACTTAATTATTCAAAATTTTAGAAAAACATGTTGATGAAAAAATGTGCTAATGCTAAAAAATATTTTAGAGCACGCTTTCACAGGAATGCTTACATTTGTGCCAAGTGCAGTACACAATTGGTGAGACGACTTACTTGCATAACTTTCTAACAATCTATTGGGTATTCTAAAACAATACATTGCCAGCTGCTTAAGAAATATTATTTAACGATAAAACGAGCTTATTGTGCCAATTTTAAAGCGTAAAAAATGTGTTAGGAATTGACAACGCCAAGTGACGAATGTTTGTGTGCTAAATAGTAAAATTCCAGGTTTAATCACGAGTTAAAAATATATTATGTTTTTATTTAAGATAATATTTCAGATTTTTTAACTTTCAACACATTTAAGCTAGCTTGCGTAGCTGTCATTGTACCTATTATTATAGATACCGGGATACCAAGCTCGTATTCTTTGGGAGTGGAAGGTAACATCAGATCTTCTTGATCGAGAAGGTCTTGTTCTGTGGTTAATGCCTCTGGCGTTTCCGTTGTGATAGTCACTGGTTCATCAGTTGGTGGGTTGGATGCTAATTCCTCAACGTTTTCAGTTGTTGATGTTTCCTCTGGCATAATTGTTGTGTCTTCAGCTGATATAGTTGGTTCTGTTGGAAAAGTCGTTGGCTCATTGGTGCTCGTTGTTGGTTCCGATGTAGTTAACTCAGTTGAAGTCTGCTCATCCTGGGATGTACCATTTGTGGTCACCACCTCAGGAACTTCCGTGGAGGCGATTTCCTCCACTAAAGATTTTTCTGTTGTTTGTACATTATCCTTTTCCTCAATCGTAAAGGTTTCAGTTTAAGTTGTTTTAGTATCAGGTACGCCAGGCGTCTCTTCAGTATAGGTGGTAAATGGATTTAGATCATGGTTCTCCTGGGTTATTTTTTCGAGAATGGAATCTTTATTATTAATTAATTAATTAATTAATTTATTATTTTTTACTGTTCCCTCTAACGTTTCGTTGCACCATGTTGCAATATAAAAAGTTTTGTATACTTTTCGGCGTTATACTTAAAATTTTACAGCACGATAAATAGAACAATGGTAAAATTGCCCTCAACGAAAACGCAACAATGTAATGCAACAAAAATTATTTTATTTCCTAAACGTGTCCAAGGTGTTATCAGTGGTTTGAAGGCCTCCTTATTATGATGAAACCGTGGTCGTGGTGATGAATGGGCAAAGTGGTGACCGCAGCAAACAGGCGATGAGGAGGAATGTAGCTTCAGTTGCCGGAGCGCTGAACAACATGAGCATGGCAACCAGCAAGAAGGTCATCAGGAAAGTGGAGAGCTGCATGGTGCTTTTGATAGTGTTGTACTCTGTTGGATCCAGAACTACCTTTCGATCCGATCGGGCTGCTATTTATACGTGCTTTTAGCCATGCTTACCACATACTATAAAGCCTTTCATTACATATTTGCCAAATATAATTCAAACAAAGTCACCGACTGTTAGCAAAATATTGAACAGCTTCTGTTGTCCCAGCAGCTGTGCAGTTCAGATGCAGTAGTGCAGTTTTATTACACTACCTAACAAAAATCAGGAATTTTTGTAAAAATTGCGCAGGTTCTTTGTCAAAACTTGATGAACAGAATAATCAGTTTTGCGGAAACTTATGTTAAAATTATAATTTCCTTGTAGTTTACGAGGATTATACATATTTAACTAAATTATTCAAAATTTTAGAAAAACATGTTTTTGTTTTTTCGGATTCCTTTAAAAATGTGCTACTGTTAAAAAATATTTTAGAGCAGGCTTTCGCAGGAATGCTTACATTTGTGGCAAGTGTAGTACACAATTGGTGAGACGACTTATACTTAAATAACTGTCTAACAGTCTATTGAGTGTTCTAAAACCATACATTGTCAGCTGCTTAAGAAATATTATTTAATGATAAAGCGTGCCTATTGTGCCCATCTTAAAGCGTAAATAAGGTGTTAGGAACTCGCAACGCCCAGTGACGTATGTTTGTGTGCTAAATAGTAAGATTCCAGGCTTAATCACGAGTTACAAATATTTTAATTTTTTTATTTAAGATAATTTTTCAGACTTTTTAACTTACAACACATTTAAGCTAGCTTGCGTAGCTGACATTGTATCCATTATAATAGATACCTGGATACCAAGCTCGTATTCTTTGGGAGTGGAAGGTAACATCAGATCTTCTTGATCGAGAAGGTCTTGCTCTGTGGCTAATGCCTCTGGCGTTTCCGTTTTGATAGTCACTGGTTCATCAGTTGGTGGGTTGGATCCTAATTCCTCAACGTTTTCAGTTGTTGATATTTCCCCTGGCATAATTGTTATGCCTTCAGGTGATATAGTTGGTTCTGTTGGAAAAGTCGTTGGCTCATTGGTGCTCGTTATTGGTTCCGATGTAGTTAACTCAGTTGTAGTATTCTCATCCTGGGATGTACCATTTGTGGTCACCACCTCAGGTGGGTTGGATCCTAATTCCTCCGCGTTTTCGGTTGTTGATATTTCCTCTGGCATAATTGTTGTGTCTTCAGCTGATATAGTTGGTTCTGTTGGAAAAGTCGTTGGCTCATTGGTGCTCGTTGTTGGTTCCGATGAAGTTAACTCAGTTGACGTCTTCTCATCCTGGGATGTACCATTTGTGGTCACCACCTCAGGAACTTCCGCGGATGGTTTTTCATCCACTAAAGATTTTTCTGTTTGTACATTATCCTTTTCCACAATCGTTAAGGTTTCAATTTTAGTTGTTGTAGTATCAGTTAAGCCAGGCGTCTCTTCGGTATAGGTGGTAAATGGATTTAGATCATAGTTCTCCTGGGTTTCGAGGTTGGAATCTTTCAATGTTACCTTAAATATTTCCGCATTTGTTTGAATTTCATCTGTTTTTATGGTAGTAACATTTTTATCTATTAAATTTAATGCAGATATTTTATCAGTCAGTTTTGGTTCCTTGCTTATTGTGGCATCGCTATTATCCTGCTTTTTTTGATAAATTACGAAGTTAATTGTATCACTTTTTACACCTTCAATGGTTACGTTTTTCTTCAGCTCCGATCCCACTTGAGCGATATCCAAATTAATGCTGGCATTTGCATTTGTTAAACTGGGTTTCTCAACAATTTTTGATCCCTTGTTTTTGGGAGCCGATGGCCGACGATTTGAAGTGCTCGAATTAGTTTTATTTGTTGTAGTTGTTTTTATAATTACCTTTCGTATAGGAGTTTGTTGGCGAATTACCGTGTTTGTTTTATGTTTTTGGGAATTAGTCAATGTTTTTCTGTTCTTACTTGATGTGTTTATCTTGTTGCTCTGAATTATTCTCTTACGATTGGAAAGTGGGGAAGCAGTTGGTCTCTTGCGATTTAGGTTTTTGTGGTTTTTGGTCAGTTGCGAATCCGCTTTAAGAAGGTTAATTCCATTAGAATTACCCCGCAAAGGCTGCGGTGCCTGAGGTTTAATTGTTTTTAAGACAACCTTTCTGTTATCGGGTTTTGATGATGTATTTCCATTGCTTCCCTTTGTGGTTTCTTGTTTAGGTGGCTTGTCGTCTGTAATTGCTGGTAAATAAATGATTGTCGGACCTTGCTTATGCCGATGTGATGGAGATTTTCCGGGGGAACCTGGTGGTCCAATGGGTCCCGGATATCCAGTATAGCCCGGTCTGCCCGTTCTTCCTCGCTCTCCACGTTCTCCACGATCCCCAAGGTCGCCTTTTTCACCAGGCGGTCCTTGCTCACCTGGCAAGCCAGGAGTTCCAGGTGGACCAGGTGGCCCGGGAGGCCCTGGACGACACTGACAATTCGTCTGAGATCCATAGTAAAAGGATGAGCCCAACGTTCCCGGACTGTAATAGTACAGGTCATAAACAGGCTTTTTCGCCTTCGGGCGCGACTCAGTTTTGACCGGCTGAACTGAGCTCAACGTCCACGATCCCTCGCAGAAAGTTGAAATGGCTAAAAACACAAAATTTAATAAAAGCTAGAAATGTTCTTAAACTTTGATTTACTCTTGGCTAACCTGATAACAGCAGAACCGTCAGCAGCCTCATTTTGAGGGCCAACATTCGTGAATGAACACCTGTCCGACTTAGAAGCCGTCTTTTATAGACACCTTCGATGGTCTTAATGGGTTAATTGGAAACACGTGAAATTTAAATCGCAGATCTCAGACAGTTTAATGGTTTTGTATAATCCAAACCGAAGAGTGGTCGAATTTCACTAACGTGGAATTCAATGACGTCAATGATCTATTTGTTTTGGCTAAATAGGTAAAAAAAGGCTATTTTTATTGGGATTTTAATTATTTTTACTTAACTTTAAATATATTGATACGATTTTCATTCATGTTCCATTTCTGCACCCATTGTTATACTTATTTTGGAACAATAATAATAAGATACCGCAAAAATGGAACGATCTAACTTATCTTCTTTTATAGATACTAACGATTGTTTATTTTATGGTTATCATACAGATTGATTTCAAGTAGCGAAATTCGAGCGGAGACACGCAGAGTTATGAAAGGTAATAAAATAGTGGATCAATAAGATGCACGGAATCTTTAAACTGTCTTAAATTAAATACATTTGGAAATTCTTGTTTTTTTTGGTATAACATATTGATTTAAATATTGGGTTAATCTTTTTTCGCCATATATATTTTATTCTTATCCGTTGTCCCGGATTTTATTATTTTGTTACAGCGTGTCAGATGCAAAAACTCGCTATGAGTCATACATTTCAGATCTGCAAAATATCTATGAACTAACCACTTTTTTCTTGTATGGCTGATAAGCTTTAACAATATAAGCTTTATATATTGTATTGACAAATTCATTCGTTCGTCATTGATTTAATTTTTTTATTTCTTTGTGATTTCACTTTTCATGCCTTTCTTCATTGCTAATTTTTTGAAAAACACACAAAGCAAAGCAAATTCCAAGAACAACGGAACTATTTCGCCAGTTAACAAAAAGCTATTTTATTGCTAATTTATTTTACCTTTTATGCCACACGAGTTCGAGAAGATTAACTCTCGGTTGCATATAAATTATTATGAATGAGCTAAATCCTTCTAGAACATCATATTGCTTAGAAAGAGGTAGTATGTATACAGAATTCCCCATTTATTTTATGGTATCTGAAAACCCTATTTTATTGATACCGTACTAATTAAAAGAAGAACACTAAAAAGTAACATATTTAAAATTTTGTTATTGTCGTGTATCATTGGCTTGTTTATTTATTAATTATACTGTTCATAGGCATAAATGTGAAATGGGTTTCTTGGACTTCCAACGGCCAGGATAATTGGCCTTTTGTTGTTTCGCTCTTCGATCGTGTATCCCTCAAAGGACTGGTTATCATTTACCATGTCCATCTGATCCTCCGTTATAGGTTCCTCTTCTATCAATTCTTCCTCTTCACCTGGTTCGAAATAGTTTTCTGCACCTAAAGTTGTATCTTCCTCAATTAGTTCTTCAACTGAATCAGGAGATGTTTCATTCTCCACTGTGTTATCTATATAGCCTGCATCCTCGGGTTCCGTTTCTGTATCAGTTGTCTCAAAAGGCTGTTCTTCCTCGACCTCCATAAAGTCATTGTCATCGATTATGTTCTCGACGATCTCCACATCTTCATCCAACAGTTCCAGATCATCGCGGGGAACTTGCTCGCCACTGCCTTTTGGCTCAGAGGGTTTTTCTGAACCAGCTCCTGCGTTGTCGTTATTACCTTTGTTTCCACCATTTCCATTAGTTTGATGATGTTGGCTCTGCCCGTCGTTTCCTCCTCCATTATTGTGGGACGGATGATGTTGGCTGTGCCCGCCGTTTCCTCCTCCATGATTGTGGGACGGATGATGTTGGTTATGTCCGTCGTTTCCTCCTCCATGATTGTGGGAAGAATGATGTTGGCTGTGCCCATCGTGTCCTCCTCCATGATTGTGGGACGGATGATGATGGTTATGTCCGTCATTTCCCCCTCCATGATTGTGGGAGGGATGATGTTGGTTATGCCCGCCGTTTCCACCTCCATGATTGTGGGATGGATGATGTTGGTTATGTCCGCCATTTCCACCTCCATGATTGTGGGATGGATGATGATGGTTGTGCCCGTCATTGCCTCCTCCTTGATTGTGGGACGGATGGTGATGGTTGTGCCCACCATTGCCTCCTCCATGATTGTGGGACGGATGGTGATGGTTGTGCCCTCCATTGCCTCCTCCATGATTGTGGGATGGATGATGATGGTTGTGCCCACCATTGCCTCCTCCATGATTGTGGGACGGATGGTGGTGGTTTTGATGCCCCTTGTCACCGCCATCGTGTGGATAGTGTGGTGGGTAAGGAGGAGGGTATGGAGGCGGGTATGGGGGTGGATAAGGGGATGGATGATGGTGGCCACTATGTCCGCCGTCGTAGGGTGGATACGGATATTGACCGCCCTTGTTATGTCCTGGTGGATAGTAGTGATGGTGATTTCCACCCTTGTCTCCTTTGTTGCCTCCTTTGTGACCCTTGTCGCCCTTGTGTCCTTTCGATGGCCATGGCACTGGAACTGGCACGGGAATCCAAGAACCTGGACCGGGATAGGGTCCGGGTGGGGGGTAAGGATATGGGTAGGGTGGATACGCTGGCTGAGGCGGCGGTGGAGGTGGAGGCGGAGGAGGAGGAGGAGGCTGTGGATACGTATTCCCAGGCGGCCCTGGAAGGCCAGGTGTTCCCATTCCTGCAAGCGATTTAAGATTTGAATTTAAGTAAATTAAACCTCGAAAATACATATAAGCCAGAAATAATGTATTTGATTGGGTATTTAAAAATTAAATCTTAAGTAAAAAATAAAATTTATAGATCTTATTCTCCTCGGTTTTCTTGATAGATTAAGATTTTTTGAAAACTCAGTATTACATTTACACTAAGGCGTTGCGCAGTTCTCTCAAAAATTACTCATACGACACCTAAGCCAGTTAAAATTGTAAAAACTCGATTTCCCATTTTCAATTTTTACAGAGTATTTTTTTTGTTGTAAAGGTGACAAACGAATTTAATAAAGTAGACCCTAGTCGGGGCCACCTATCAATACAAAATAAATATATTTGATCAAAGACAACAGTGCGTATGAGTAATATATTTGAAGCCTCCTTCATTTTTTTTGAATTTAGGATCTTAAAAACGTGGACCGCCCTAAAGTACATAGTATATAGGCACACAACTTCTAAAGTTATATTTTGATTTTGACATTTTAAATCACTTACCCGGTGGACCTGGTGGTCCGGGTGGTCCCTTGGATCCCTTGTGGTGATTATCATGACCACCTTTCTGCGGGGCTGGAATCGGAATGGGAACTATAATTGGAGGCGGCAGGATTGGTGGTGGTGGTGGTGGATAAGATGGTGGAGGTGCTGGTGGTGGGGATGGCGGTTGGGTATGGTGATGGTGGTGGTGGTGACCGTGGTCGTGGTCGTGGTCATGGTAATCATTTTTCGATTTGTGACCGGGTGGCCCGGGCAGTCCAGGTGGTCCAATGGGTCCCGGTAGGCCTTGGGCGCCCGGTAATCCATAATGTCCGCGGTCTCCCTTCTCCCCACGTTCGCCCTTCGACCCACTGTGTCCCTTGGGACCCGGTTCACCAGGTAATCCAGGCAATCCTGGTGGTCCCGGTGGGCCAGGTGGTCCCGGTGGACAGCTGCAGTGCTGAGGCGGCGGAGGAGGCGGAGGTGGTGGGTAGTAGTGCTGCGGTGGTATTTTGTAGATCACTTTTTGTGCTGGCGCCGGTGCTGGAGCTGATTGGAAAGAGGCTAGCAATCTGGGGGACTCGGAACCCGAGTTCTTGGCACTGGCTTGGCCAAAAGCCCAGCCTGGAAAGGTGATAATTTGCATTTAGAAATCCGTTTAAAGTCCATCTGGGGGAAATCCCTTACCTAGCCAGAAAATCACTGCGAACAGTCTCATGGCGAAATGGCATCTGCTGCCTTTCGCCATCGAATGGATCACTTTTATACCGCATTATGAACTGTTAATCTCCTATGCACACTTTGTTTAAATCACTTTCATTAATCTAGATTCACCAGAACCGTTATATCATGTCCATTCAGAAATCTGCTCGCCAAATCTCTCGGAAAATATGCAAACTTGGTCGGGATGACGATACCTCCGATGTTCTCTCTTAACTTATGTATATTTATGCCCATTCAAAAAGTGGACCGCCTCTGAAGTATTAATATGTAAACTCGCATATGAATACCGAAGATATTTGCAAAAAAGAACAAATTCTTTGTTGTCGATTGTTTGTCTTTACGATTCGAATCGACAAAGAGTCAAAGTTGGCAGAAAAATGTCGTTTTGTCTCTTAATTGGCCGTTTCTATCAAGTTGTTCACACCTCGGTCGCGCGCCTACATATGATTAACCCCGATAGACCCGAGTGATCCCAAAGTCAACGAAAGTGTAAAGGTTTTGGGGTCCAACGATTCATTATCTGTTCATGTTGCGTAAGAAAAGGGCGTGACTGGGTATTATTCTTGATCTTCGACATTTATAATGCCTTTGACATGGGTATCAGCTCTGTAGTATCTCTACTTTCGAACCGAAATTCAAGTCAATCAGATTATTTAATTGGTAAGGGATTTATTTCTGTACATCAGTTTGGGGCATTATCATACAAGGGGGAGTGGGAATTGCATTTACGTTTATGTTACTGATTAAGCTAAAGGTATTTGTATTTAACTAGTTAATAATAGATCGCTAGGGATCACTTCTTTCCGTAATGAGACGGATCTACCGATGCATATGGCTTTTGATCAATCCACTTGGTGAGGTCAACTACTGGAATATTCGAGCACGGCATGATGGGATTCCTAAAATTAGTGAATAGTTTGATTAATTTCCAATATTATAGACCTCATATTTCTACTTACGAATGGGAAACCGTTCTGAAAGCCTCAGGCTGCATAGATGAAATGTGGTTGCCATTGTCACATAGCAAACGGGCCATACTTGCCTTACGTAGCTCTTCCAGTTGATCTGTGATATGATACATATGGTTATATTCTTTGAAATTATTTGGAGTAAATATTTGTAATTACCAGGAGTAAATCCAGTGAGCTTGTCTCCGTTTTCGAAGAAGAACCGATCGCCCACTCTCGTTCTGTAGAACTGTTCGGTTAGGATGCAAAGGAAGGTGGGTCCAGCCAAAGCGCCGGCCACATGGGCCTCCAACGAGGCTCCCACAGTCAAATCCACGTCTTCGTGACTCACGTACAGGGACTTTAGATTTTCCAGAATCTGGGGACTGATCAGGTCACCGTATTCCTCCCACGAGTGGGCACGTTTTAGTCCGCAGAACTCCCTCAAATCATTGTAGGAGGCCAAACCGTGATCGCGATTGCGCTGAATGTCCAGGGATCGCAGATCCGAACCGAAAGGCATGTTTCTTCTGAACAGAAAGTGTTTAATCTGCACAGGAAAATTATGACAGTATGAAGAGTTGGCTTATATTCATATAGGTGTACCCACCTGTCTGTCAAAATTGATATCCGTCAGTTCCTCGGGCTGTGTGGCATGTCCTCTGGTCAGCGAGTCAAAGTTATCTCCCACCTCGATAATGCCGGGACGGTTGAACCAGTCGCTGAGGGTCAGGGATCCCAAAACTTGTCGCAGCTCGGAGAGAAGGCTGTAAAAAGATTTTTAAATTAACAATACCCAATGCAATTCATATTTATCTATAAGATATTTTTAAATATTTATCTGACATTTTTGTATATACAAAAGTTATTTCTTAATATTAAAAGAAAATCTCTACTTACTCCAAACGACCTTCAATCTGGGAGTGGAAGTATCTAAAAGCGGCCGTCGCATGTTCATTCAGCACCGATGGATCGATGGTATGATCGAAGTCGTTGATATAGTTGCCAGATGGAGCCTTGTAGATAAGTCGGTTCTTGAGCATATTCTCGCCACCCAGGAAGATGGGAAGCCATTCGTAGTAGCTGATCTGCTGATACTGGGCGATATTGATCTTGCGAGCCTCTTGGAACAGCGTGCGATCATCGTAGTGAGGATTCAGGGCCGACAAACCATCTGCAATGCGGTTGTGCTCTCGCAGCAGGATCGTCTGGAGAATGGCCAGTCCCGGATTCTGGTTGACCCTCACATCTCCAGATCGGTAGCACACTTCGCTGGCATCCACGGCATCACAATCGCCGGTGACATTCCGAGAAAGTGGCAGCCACTTGGCTCCATTGCGCTCCTCCACGATCATCCGGCCGCCTTGGAACTCACGAATATCGCTGTTTTGCTGAATGGAATTGCCGTAGACCAGTGAGAGATCCAGGTAGGAGGTGACCACCGTTATCTGCTCCGCCGGACCGCCGCGATATCGGCAGTTCGAGTCCCGATCCGTCAGGGTGCGCACAAAATTGAGGCACTCGGTGCCCACCTGGGAGTAGGCCGGATCGTGGGGAGGCACTATAATGGCGAAACAGGTCTTGTGGGCGGTGTCCAGGCCAATCAGACGTCCATCGTCGGTGCAGCAACGAGTGGGATGCTTCTCTGTTGGGATTAGAGATTAAAGAACTTTTTCTTTGAAATCAAAAGTAATCACATCTTACTCGACTGAGTTCCTCCTGCCTGCATGCTCATATCGTGAGTCATGATCTGACCCCACTGCATGTTATGCAGCGTGAACTCTGGATCGGGCACATCCTGTTCTCCAAAAGCCACTAAGGAAACCAGACGAGCACTGGGGAGTTCGTCTCCTGTCACCGATCTAGTGGGTGCCGATATACCATCGGCGTATTTGGGTGTCACCAGACGACCATACCTTTAAGAAATATTATAATTAAAAAAAAAACAACTTTTACTTCTTTAATAGATGCTACCTGGAGTTGGCCACTCCCAAGCCAGGGCGTTCCAAGTGATTGCAGGAACCGTCCAAAGTGCGGTACGCAGTCTTCTCGCAAATTGCCGGAGGAGCAGCACACGCGACTTGACCGGCAGTGGGAAAACTGTAGCCATAAGCTGATACCGGAGGACTTGCCGGCGATGAAAACGGATTCTGGGCAGCCGGAGAAGTGGGCAGGCTATTCCTAATAGATATTTAAATGTTTAAAAAACAGGGGAAGAAAAGGAAGCTTCCACAACTTACCCAATCACATATGGTGCTGAGCCTTGAAGGTAACTAAATCCATGATAGTTGTGTTGAAAAGGTGGTTGAGGATTGTGGACTATATGATAGCCAGAGGAAACTTTTAGCCCAAGTGCACTTGGGACGAATCCCAAAAGGGCCAAGAGCAAAATATCTTGTGCCCCAAACATCTACAATTGAAATGGAAAATTATTAAGAAATTAGGTTTAGTTTCAAAATAACACTTAGAGCACATATAACATTAGATAAATAGGTCGACTTCAAAAGAGGACATTCTAAATTAAGGAAATTAAAATAAATTGTTAATGAACCAAGACGATTGCTTGACCAATAGACCATCGACAGAATATCATTTTGCTAACAACATTCCTTTAGCTCTAGAGGTAAGGAATTTGTTTTTCCTGTTCGAAATAAGACATATTAATCGTGAATATTGTAGTCCAAGGTCTGCGCCATGTACGGCAATCGACAATCTTTCGTTATGGCATCCTGAACTACATGGGAAAAGTGGTTAGCACTCCTAACACATTCAGCTTCGTACATATTTATGTGGTGCTGGTATGGTAACCCACATAAAAACCTAACTTTTTGCAGAGGTACCTGCAGTCGCAAACGGCCAAAAGAGCGTGTATTGTATGTATCCCATCGGCTGCAACGTGGAGGCAACACTAGAGACTTGGACACGTTGGACACGTTGGACACATTTCATGTTCGCCGGCTGCAGACGGAGACGGCAGGTGAACTACAACTGGAACACTTTGCATTTTTTGCGGCAGCCGATCGATCTGGACTCCGACTCCTTGGGCTCACTTATGGTCACAACAGGTTTCATCACCGTTTTGGTGCGCATTCATTATTATTTATTGCGACATTTTAGTACGAACATGTTCATTGCTCAGGCCCGGCTATTTGGGTATTATGTCTACTATATGCTATTGGTCCAAACACCAAAACATCGAATGCCGAACCAAACCCCGAGCTAAAAATCTGAGCACAATAACACTGTTTTAGATTCAAATTCGTGTGCTCAAGGCGCGCAAAAGCGTGAAAAGTCTCATAATTGTTTTATGGCAACGGCATATTTGACCAATTTGCAAGCTACTTATGTAAACAGACCGAATCGACAGTAATGGTTAGCTTTACATAATGAATTTGTCTGCGGCCCCGTTCTGCCGTCTAAGCCAAGCCAAACCGAGTCATTCCCAACCTTTTGTGGAAAAGGCCAGCTACAGCTGCAGCATGCAAATCCGCATCCATCGGCAGCCGTGGCAGAAACCACACAAAATAAAACAAAGGCAGTCTCTGTCAATGTTTTAATTGCATGCCGTGCAGAACAATGGCCCAGACAACAATTCCAATTCGTGCCATGAGTCTTACACTTTCCTGGACCCTGGGTCCAAATTGATCGGCCGATTGGAGGCGGCCCTCTCCAGGAAACCCACGCCTACACTCTTATTAAAAATGCCGCTTGACCAATTAACAGAGTTGTTAGGTTATTCATGAAAATTTCTTAATTATTGTGTTTAAAATATTGTGGGAAATATTATTACAAGGGGAATAACTTCCTTTTATCCTAAAAAATAAGAATAAAGTGTCTTCTACAATCAAATATTCCTAGGAGATTACTTCATTCTAGTTTAGTTCTAACCTATTAACACTACTTAACTTGCCCAAACAGCAAAGCCTTTTTCAAACCAAAATATACTACAAAATCTAATTAATACACTTTGTTATAATATTTTGCACTTTCTCAGTTCTATTTATCCCCTGTCTACATATTTATAATGTTTTTCTGAGTGCATCTCTTG